TCCCGGTCATCAACAAGGTGTTGTGGAGCGTTCTCTCTTTCTGTGAAAAAAGAAAACTCTATTTTATCGATTTCCAAATGTTTTTAGGAAATTAGGGTTCCCCAAAGCTTGGCATGGTGAGGTTTGTTTTTAGGTCAAGGTTCCGGGTCAGATAAATCTTCCACAGGGGTAAAATTCCATCAAAAGGGGAACTTTTGTTTTTTGGGATTTGGGAGATCCGAACCAAGGATTGTTGGGTTGCAAAGTGGGTTTCGCCTCTTGGGGGCCTGCTGAAATCTCCCCTGACAAATTTTGTTTTCCCAGGTCCGCCCGGGATGTTCCTTCGGGGCAAGGGAGCAAGCAATTCCAGGAGCACCCTTTTTTGAGTAGTGGGGTTTGGGAGGGTTCGGACGACATGCCTTTTTTAGCTTCGGCTTCCCAAGCTTCGTTAGGGAACTGCTTTGGCAATTTAGGATTTTTCACCCAACCAGGGGCTGCGAAGTAAATGCGTGTTTCAGCAATAAACGCATGACCTTGTTTCGCGTCAACTGGGTTCCCTACAGCAACGTGTAGTTTTGGTCCGGGTATCATTGGTCGGAAACCACTGACCGGTGGGTCGACGGGTGCTCCAGCCGCTCCACCGGGAATGGCGTCCACCGCCATGGGTACTGGACCGGGTGCCGCGACGGCGGGTACTGCAGACGGTGCGATCGGCGGAGCGGGGGCGGGTTGCCCCACCGGCGGCGCGCCGGCAGGCTGCGCCGCGGGTTGACCCGCTGCCGCAGGTGCGCCTGCGGCCTGCTGCTGGGCTACGACGGCCGCGCAGAACTGCAGGAACGCGAGCATGTTTGCCTGCTGCTGCGCCGGGTCCATGGGTGGTGCGGCTGCGACAGCAGCCGGTGCAGGGCCAGCTGCCGCCGGCAGCATCATGGGACCGGCTGCGGCCGCTGGTGGCTGGGGCGGAGCAGCGCCCCCAGCCCCTGCCGGGGCAGCTGCGGCTGCTGGTGCCGGCGGTGGTGCTGCAGCCGCAACGCCAGCCCCGGCCGGGGCAGCGGCAGCTGCGGGTGGGGCTCCTGCCCCGAGCATAGGGGCAGCAGCCCCAGCAGCATTCGACGTTCCGCCCCCCCCGCCCCAGCCCCCGGCCGGGAACGGGGCTGCGGCGGGCACAAGCGATGGACGCGTGACCACAGAGGGTGCTGGCGAGGGGAGCGCCGCCTAGAGTGCTATGAGTCGTGAGGCTAAAGACATCAGGGTCTTGCTTTGGAACGTGTGGGGTTTGTCGGTAGCTAAGCTCACCGACCCATCTTTCCTCCGCATTGCCCAGGACCACGATGTGCTAGTATTTACGGAAACACACTGTTCGGCGCAGGCCGGGAAGCCGGCCAAGGCCCTGGCCCTGCCAGGGTTTCAACTGCATGTAGCTGAGCGAGCCTGTAGAGGCGGAGCCGGGCCCCAGACGGGCCGGCTGCACGGGGGTGTGTCTGTTTATATCCGGGACGCGATTGCCCGGGATGTCACTTTGTTGAGGGTTGACACGGGATATTGCGGGCTGCGAGTCTATTTGGTTGCGTTTGGGCGGCCAGCAAACAGGTCAGGATAGCACCCTGGTGGGTGCATGCTACGTCTCCCCCAGGGCGTCGGTAGTACACCACGCGTCCCTGAGGGCACACGAGTCTGACGGACAAGCAGCAGACGAAGTGTTTGATCATCTGGCCACCGTCGTGGGCGCCCTCCGCCAGTCGGGTGAGAGGATCCTGCTTCTGGGGGATTGGAACGCGCGCGTGGGGGGGCTGCCCAACCACCTCTCCGACATCCCGGACCTAGACTATCTTGACGATTTAGGAGAGGAGGTCGGGTGCCCTTTTGTGGACGGCGAGGCATACAGAGCACTGCTGGGTGTGCCCCGCCGGTCGCTAGATCAGGAGCATAATGCGTTTGGACGTAAACTGCTCGAGTTGTGCCGGGTTTCAGAGGTTGTCATTCTCAATGGGCGGGCACCGGGTGACACTGAGGGCAGGCTCACATACGAGTCCAGCCGGGGGGGAGGCAGCATGATTGACCTTGTGCTTGCGTCCCCTTCTTTGTACCCGTGCGTGCGTTCCTTCCGTGTCCTGCCACAGCAATCTTTTTACCGTGAAGAACGCCGCTTGAGTGATCATAACCCCGTGTCCCTTCACCTCGCGTCGGTTTGGAGGCCGGACCGGCCACCCACGCGTAAACCCAAGCCGACGTTTCTTGTCTCTGAAGCGCACAGGTACACAG